GTCAGCCCGACATAATCACAAGGGCCCTTGTGAGAGGGAGGCAGAGCGAGATTTGACAAGAGAAGAGGAAAAGGCAGTGTGACCACGGAAGCAGGGGTTGGAGTGATGGAGCCAGGAGCCAAGGAGTGGGAGAGATAAGGAAGGTGTTTCCCCTTGGAGCTTCCAGAAGGAGCCAGCCCTGCTGACACCTTGATATTAGCACCTTAAGACTTATTTTGGATTTCTGACCTTCAGAACTGTAAGAGAATAAATTTGTGTTGTTTTCGGCCATGAAGTTCGTTGTAATTTGTTACAGCAGCAACAGGAAATGAATGCAACGTGACATTGCCATGTTATGTAATAAGTGTCAACACCACTCTTCTGTAGTCACAAAGGAGCCCAAATGGCTCAGTGGTTCAGAACAAGAACCCTGGAGTCCAATGCCTTGGTTCAAGTACATTTCCACCTTTTATTGGTTGAGGGGCCTTTTGGCGTGTTGCTTCTCAAAGCTCCGGGTGCACCACCTGTAAAATAAAGACAATAATCCTTTCCACCTCACGGTGGTTGTGAGGGTTGAAGAGTGAAAGGCACATGGAGTTCCAGGCCTGGAAGGCGGTACGTGCTCCCAGCTCCTTCCCTGCTCCTCGCCTTCTCTTTATTAGCAGGAAAACACTGAATGCTGGAGAAGCACTCAGTGGGGATGCCTGGTGTAGGGCACTGGCTGGAGAGGTTTCCTGTTTGGAGCCTTTGGAGAGAAGATCCCCGGGACATTTAGTAGTTGTGGGTTTTCTCGGGTGGGTCACTTGCTCCTGACCTTCCTGAGGTCCTGCAATTCACAGGAATCCTCAATTTTTCCTCTTAAGCTACCTTTGAATATACATAAGTTCTTTTATTGAGTAAATGTGTATCTCGCCCTGCCGTGTGCCAGGCCTTGTAGGGGCGAGCAGAATGCATGGGAGCCACAGCAGGGCGTCCAGGCCTCCTGCCTGGGGGCATTTGGCTTGGAGGCTGCTCTGGTTTGTCAGTTGCAGACCCACTGTTGGGATTCTCACTTGATAATAGGCTACCTGGTTCCTTGCCTCCTGACTGGTTATCTGCTGCTGTTACCAGTTGTGGAGAAATTGAGGAGACCCCAAGCCTGGGAGGAGCTAAGGCTACTCACAACCGAGCACCTCTGGGGGCCTGGCACTGTGCTGGGAACCTTGTGCCCTGTGGTGGCCACGCCCTGAGAGGGCTTCATGCCCTTTTCGCAGATTGTACTCCTGTCGGTCTGCTGGTCTGTTATTGGATAGCGCCATTCTCTCCGTTAATCCCACACATACGTTTGGAGGTGAGTCATCATTCTCAGTGTTTTGCATGTGGGGAAATTGAGGAACAGAGAGGCTGGCTTGCCCATGGCCACACAGCAAATGAGAGGTGATCCCAGATGTGATTCTGGAATGTTTGCTCTTTTGTTTCATAATAAGTTTTGGGGGGGAGGATGGGCTTGCTTTGCTTTGCTGTTGGGTATTTTCCCCTCACTGGAAATGCTTGTGCCTTTGTTGTCATAGTTTGTTTGCATTCCTGAGCAACAGCAGGGCTGGAGAGTGAGGGGCAGCCTGGAAGCACTTGGTCTGTTAGATGAGTCCTTCCAGAGGGTAGACTTGGATGCATTTTTAGCATAAATGCCAGCTGGACTAGCTGTGCTGAGGGACAGAGGGAGCCCCAGCCATCCCAGATTCTCTGCCCTGTGCGAGAAGCCTGGACTCTTCACCATGTGCCTCACATGATGCTTCCTGTGAAGTGACGACAGGCAGAGCCTCTGTTGACACTGGACAATGTGATCAGGGTTACCTTCGGCTGGTGAAAGATGGGCACAGTCTGCTACCGGGGCGGAGAAGACACCAGGCGTCGGCTCTGTCCGAGGTGGTCCCAGGTGCTTCCTATTAGATGGGCCCATTAAGCCCTTCCTCCCCTCGCTGGGCAGACTTTTCACCCCTATTTGTCAGACAAGGCAACCCCAAGTCTGGAACTTTAAGTACTTGCCCAAGCATTTGCTCAACTAAAGGGTGGTGGAGGCAGGATTCAAATCGAGTCCTGAGCCCCCAGACCCCTCGTCTGTCACTCTGCCACCTCCTGTAAGCAGCTTGCTGATGTTCTAAGAGGCAGTTCAGATGCTTACAGGAAAACAGAAGACATATAAAATACCATGGACCTTGCCTCTTTACACTAATTAAATGAGGAAACAATTTAAACCTCACTATCCATTGCTGTAATGAGGCCGGAGGACAGCAGGTGCATGTATGTGCTGCCTGCGGTAATTGGTAGACACCGGGAGTGGATTTTGTTAGCATTGTATGCAAAAATAGCCTTGATTGTGTCTGTGTATTTTCACTCCATTACCTCACTTCTCAGCTTTTTCCTAAGGGGATAATTCAAAGGGAGAAAACACCAATTTTGTGAAAATGTCTATTAAATATATATATTTTTTTTACTTTTGATTATGGAAAATTTCAAACATCCGGGAAAGTAGAGAGCATAATATAAAGAACACCCACAGACCCATTACCTGGTCTTAACACTTATAAACATTGGCCTTATTTATTTCATCTTTGTTTTTTCTAAAATATTTCCTAGTAAATTATAGATATCCTATTTCACTTCCAAATATTTCAGCGTAATTTTAGTTGTGATAATCAAAAGTTGAAATGGAGAATGGTTAAATAAACTGTGATGTGTCCACCTCGTATGACATTGAGACCCTTAAAATTATTTTGAAGTAGAAGCTGTTTTAGAACTCTCAACTTTTCCTTTGTACAACTTACCGTAGTTTGTAGTAATTTAACTGCTTGGTTATTTAATTAATGTCTGTTTCCCCTACTTATCTGGTTGGACAGTGTCTGTTTTGCTCACCATTTTGTCTTTACTGTCCAAGAAGGTACCTGGCATGTTGCAGGTGCAAGATAAAATTCGTTGAATAAATGCCAAATGAGCATTTTTAGATCCTTGAAATAACATGCTGAGTGACGGAAGCAAAGCACATAATCTCATATGAGCACAATGTGAAAATATGTGTGTACACAAATGACTTCTAGAAGGCAGCTCTGGGAATTTCGAGTTTTTATGCTAGCATGATGGGAAATATGGGTGAGATTTGTTTTTCTTGCCCTATTTCCTTCATGTTGTGGTCATGCGGTTGTAACAGCACGAGTCCATCACTGCCATCACGAAGGCAGCTGCCGTCATGTGTCCTGCTTGCTTTGTACAGTCCAGGAAAAAAGGAACACTGGCTTGGAGTGGAAAGACTTAGTTTTGAAGCTGTCACTCTGCTTTACTCCCTGCAGGACCCTAAGCAACCTCTGAACCTCTCAGAGCTTAGAAGAACTTTCAAGTTCCTTCCACTTAAAAATGTGATAATAGTCTCTGGTCTTCTGCATTTCTATAATTGAACGAGAGCATGACTGGATCATGGATGTGAAAGCACACTGTAAAATGTCCCAGAGCTGACTGCTCCCCATCCTTCTCCACCGTGACACCCACCCCAGGTATTCAGAGGTACTCAGACTCCCTGCAGGTGCCCTGATGCCCCCTGGATGGAGAGCAGATGAGCAGCTCCATGGAGGCGCACAGCACAGGCAGGGTTTTCTTAGGTGTCCATCTGAACATCCTTGCTGACAGCACACGTGGAGGTGACGGCTAACTCAGAGTGCTTTCACTGTTCTCACCCATCTTACTAATTGATTAGTCCATCAGCCATTCAGTGGTATTTACTGAGCCCTTACCACATATAGGCTGTGAATTCATTAGCCCTCTGTGGCTGCTGACCCCACCCAGACTCTGGATTTTTAAGTGGCACTAGAGTCTATGGACACTGGTCCCTGGGGTCATGAGGGAGGGTAAAGGCGGTACAGCCAGGGGATAGAGGGCAGCCCTATCACTTTGCAAGGAGAGCTTATAGTAGAGGGATCCTGGCTGACTTCCCCTATCGTTTCTTCTGAAGGATCCTGTCAAGGTGCTAGAGCCTAGATGAGTTTCCCGGGGCGGCCATAACAAAGTCCCACAAACTGGGTGATTTCAAACAACAGAAATTTATTCTCTCACAATTCTGGAAGCCAGAAACCCAAAATAAAGGCATTGGCAGGGCCGTGCTCCCTCTGAATCTCTAGAGTAAGAATCCTTTCTTGCCTCTTCCTGGTTTCTGGTGTCGCCAGCAATCCTTAGGGTCCTTGGCTTGTGGCTGCATCAGTCCTGTCTCCTCCTCCATCCTCACATGGCCTTCTTCTCTGTGTATGTCTATGAGTTTCTGCATCTCCCTCTCTGTATAAGGACAGCAGTCATTGGATTTAGGACCCACCCTAATCCAATAAGACCGCCTCTTAACTTGATTACATCTGCAAAGACCCTGTTTCCAAATAAGGTCACATTCACAGGTACTGGGGTATAGGATTTCTATGTATCTTTGGGGGGGACGCCTTCAACCCGTAATGGAGCCCAAAGCAAAAACAGTTCCTCCAGCTCCTCCTGACCAGCAGCCCTGTCCACCCGAGGACCACTGCCAGACGACGTACTTTTCCCCTGGGACCTGGACAGGACCCTTCCCATGCCTCATCCCTTCTGAGCCTACAACAACCCTGTCGTGCCTTCAATCAGGCACTGTACAAAACACACTCCCCAAGCGCCTACTCTGAGCCCAGGGCTGTGCCCAGCTCTGGAATACGAGGGTGTAAAGCCTGCTGTAATCCTTGCCCTCAGCGATTTTAAAGTCTTTCATGCAGTGAAGAGACTCACATGGGAATAAACAATTCAAATAATTACAACTTCCGATGAAGAACCAGAGTGCTAGGAAAGAGAACGCTGTGCTCCCCTTCTGGCCAGAGCTGCCCTTTTACAGAACTGCCTGGTCCGGGAGGAGCAGGAGGCAAGCCTTCTCTCCCCAGCAAAGACCTTGCAGAGGAGGGGAGCTCGGCACTGTCAGGGAGCAGAGAGAAGGTCGGGGAGGGGGAGGGTGGGGAGAAGGGGCTGCAGGGGTTCAGAGAGGAAGGCAGGGCCAGCTTGTGGTAGGGAGCGCACGTCTTATGTAGTGACTGCTCGGGGGTTAATGTGAGACTTGGAGCTAAATCGACAATCGAGCCCCTTCTTCCTTGGAGTGCTGTGGAGTCCACTGTTTGGCAAGTTTGGCCCTTGGCCCGAGTGACACCTGAGACTGGATAGTCTCAGTCCTGAGGGCCATCCCACGCATTGGAGGCTGTTTAGCAGCGTCCCTGGCCCCTACACCCTAGATGCCCATAGCACCCCTCTCCCCAGTCATGGCCTTCAAATATGCCCCCAGACATTGCCAAATGCCCCCTGGGGACAGGTGCCCAAATTGTCCTCCATGAGGAACCAGTGGTTTACATTAGGAGTCCCAACTTTGGCAACTCCAGAAATCCCTTTAATTGGCTCTCCCTCCTTGTGAGAAAGTTTTTCAATTGAACAAACATCGTTTGCTAAGTATTCATTTCTCCGCTTTCTTGCTTAAAAATATCCGCCAGTTGGAGTTTCCGGTCTGTGTTACTAGGCTGAGTTGATTTCATTCAGGCCGGTATCAAGCAAAGAAGCTTGATGTTTTAGGTGCCATCTGTGGCCTGACTGAAAAGGAAGATGCGGGTTCTGGTAGACTTCTTGACCAGTTGAAAAATAGCGTGAAGACCCCCATTGGGGAATCCTGAGACCCAGTTGGACTCACTGGTATAAACTTCACATTCACCGTTTACAGTCAAGGATTTGGGTCAAATGTCCCTGGAAGAAAGTTCCTTTGAACCTCCTCTGCTCCGGCAGCTGCCATCCTGTCTTCCCCCCATTTGGCCATGAGCAGTGATACCATTCCACATGTATTTATTCAGCGCTTGCCACAGGCCTGGCCCTTCCCTGGGCGTGAGGGTGCTGCGGCATGCAGATGACAAGCAGGAGGCTAAGAAAGAAAGAATCGAATCTCCGGAGGTGCTAAGTGCTAAGAGGGAGGTGGTTTCTGGAATTACAGGACCCTGTAAACAGTCAGGTGGCCCTCTCTCCGGCCCTGCCCTCTGCTCGGTCCTAGCTCAGCCCCCTTCAGGATCAATTCATGTTCATTGACAGGGCCCAGCTCCTGTTAGTTGCCTCATGGGGGACAAAGTCCTTTATCACTTAGAAGAACAGGCGCTGTGGCAGGCTGTGGCCTGCTCATCGAGAGGCGTTTCTGAGAAATGTTGAGGGTGCGTCTCACTAGGGGCCGTGAAAGGACGCTCCGCAGGGACCTTGAGCCTGGCCTGGTTGACGGAGCACCCTGTGACTGACATCGTGTTCTGCAGAAGGAAACATGGCAGTTCTCTCTCCCTCCACACAAGTCTTCAGCCAAGGCTTGGAACACAGAAGGGACCTTATAGCGTGTGAGGCTTTGTGCTCAGGTCCTGTCAGAGGGAGGAAAGGGACACAGGAGGCCAGGGAGGGAAACTCAGCCCCCTTGCCAAGTGTCCCCCGGCACCATGTGTCCGCCCCTCCCCTTGGCCACTGGGAGGCTTTCCTTCTCCTGCCACAATCTTACACCGGGTCTTCTTTCTGTCTTTGTTCCCTGGATTCCACCCACCGTGGGTGTATGAAATGGTAGCTGCTTGGCAGCATCCTCCAAGAGGGTGCTGTGCACCTGCACAGGTTCCCGCCCCTCCTCCTTTCTCCCTCCCTCCCTCCTCCCATCTCTCCTTACCTGCTGGCCACCTAATTCTTTTCCTTTCCTAATTCTCCAGTTCGGAGAACAATCCACACCAGCTGCCTTGCGGAGCCTTTCAAAGACACAAATCCCAGCCTGTGCCCTCCTCTCCTTTAGTTAATACCCTTCAGTGTCGTCACCCCCCCCCCACCCCCATTATCCTCAAGTTAATGCCCGAATGTCTTCATGGTCACTGCTTGGCTTATGAGGCCCCAGTGGGTTCTGGCTGGGCTTCAGGAAGTGCCCCGTCTGGACACTGGGAATTGGACAGCCAGCCCCGAGGGGAAAAGTGGTCTAGCCACAAAGAGCAGGAAAGACTCAAGGATTCAGTGGTTCAGAGGGGGTCGTGGTAGGGACCAGTGGGGCCATTGGAGCCTTCAAACTGGATCTGACTTGTGTTTTAACCAGATCGTTGTGGCTGCTGTGCTGAAAATGGACTGAAAGTGGCAAAGGTGGAAACAGAGAGCCCAGATAGGAGGCTGTTGCGGGAACCCGGGGTACTGCAGAAATCCGGGAATGGGTGACGTTGGTCTGGCCGGTGGTAGCAGAGGACGTTGTAAGAAGTGATCAGGTATGAATGTGTTGTGCAGGTAGAATTGGATATGGGGTTTGAGAAAAGAGGTGATCCCAAGGCTTTCTCTCGAGCAAGTAGAGAAGGAAGTTTCCATTTGTTCATGCTGGGATCAATACGAGCAGGGGGGGTTGTTTTGTTGGTTTGTTTTACGGGTAGGGGTGGAATTGTTTCGCTTGAGATGTTCGTCAGACATCCAAATGGAGATATCCAGGAAGCAGCTGGATATCTGAATCTGGAGTGTGAAGGTGAATTTTATGTGCCAAGTTGGCTAGCCCACAGTTCCCAGACATTTGGTCAAACAATAGTTTGGATGTCGAAGCCTGTGTTTTGGATGAGATTAGCATTTCCATCAGTAGATTGAAGGTAAAGCTCTGTACTGTCCATAATGTGGGTGAGCCTCCTCCAACCAGTTGAAGGCCTTAAGAGAAAAAGACTGCAGTTTCCCAAGGAAGTGAGAATTCTGCCTGCAGACTGTCTTCAGCCTTGAGCTGCAACGTGAACTCTTCTCTGAGTCTCCAGCCTGCTGGTCCACCCTGCAGAGCATGGACTGGCAGCCTCCACAACTGTGTGAGCCAGTTCCTTGAAATCTCTCTCTCTCTCTCCATATATATCCCATTGGTTTTGTTTCTGTTTTTCTGGAGAACCCTGACTAAATACATGGACTAAAGGAGAGATAAATACTTGGGTACATATTTGGGAGTCATGTTATTTAATCTTTGCCATTGGGTGTGATCACCAAGAGGGCGAGTGTGGAGATAGAGGAGCAGTCCATTGGGCTATCCAACACAAGTCAAGAAATTCAGAAACTGTTTTCGGGGTGTGTGTGTGTGTGTGTGTGTAACATTTACTGAGCTCTTACTCTGTACCAGGGATTCTCCATTTCTGGATGCTGCCTCTTCTTAAAACCAGAGCTGTCTATCTCCTTATTTGTTCTGGAAGTTTGGGAAATGATCCCAATGGGGCCACCTATTTATTTGACTGATGTTTTGCAACTCCTGTGTCTCAGCCTGTCCCGAGTTCTGGGCAGCAGAATGGCATCAGCCTTTCCTTTTCAGAAACCAATGATTCCGGCATCTTCCTTCCAGGCCATTTTCCGTTCCCCTAACCTCTAGCCTCTTGAAACCATTTAGCATCTCTTGATACCAAGTCATCCCATTTATTAAAATGTGTGGAGCCTCCTTCCTGGCAAGTGGTGGTGAGAATAGTTCTGCAGCCCCAAGGGATAGAGTCATTGGAACTTAGTGACTTGAAGAACGTTTGGTGTGAATAATGAAAAGTGCGGGACCGTGCTGCTGCATCGCCCTCACCCACTCTGTTCCTTGTTTTCTTTGTGAGACAGAATGTTTAGTCCATATTTTCCAAGAACTGTGGAGGTGGGTTGTTGGGGACAATTGATTTTTAGGGAAGTATTGTTCTGTATGTGGAAACCATGAGGCAAACAATAACATTGAGCAAGACCTGTCCCGATGACTGGGCCTGGGCAAATGGTGGTGCCAAGTGTTTGGGTCACTGTGTGGTATAAGGCATCACTTCTGCCTGCAGTGGATTTTGCTCTGGACTCAGCGTGACCCTGGGAGCTTTGTTCTAGCCAAATGTCAGATGGATCATCTACTTTCTAAGGCTGTGATTGATTCTAAATTAGAGGAGGTGTACCCTGGCAGGGAGGAGGGTCACAGGTCTGTGTGACGAACACTGAGTTCTGGTTCTCATCCTGCCCCTGGCTTGCTGTGTGAACTTGAGCAAGCCTCCTCACCTCTCTGAGCAGCAGTGTCTTCATCCATGATGAGTTTGGTCCAGGTGGTCTGAGAAGGGTGAGCCTGTGGCCAGTGGGAGGGTACCCACCCTGAAGAAAGGGCCAGCCCTCCCTCAGCATCCAACTAGCTTGTCATGCTGTGTGAGATCAGTGCTGCCAAATAAATCTTTGGACTTTGTAATGAAATGAAATTTCCTGAATTTTAGATGTGGGCAGTGAATTCAGAAATATTTAAAACATCCTGTGGGTGAAACCTGTAGCCAAATAGATCCCCAAAGTCTTCCGTTTGCCACTCAGGGCGACTGCATTGTTCCTCGTGGTTTATCACATGCTGGGGGGCCAGGAGAGGGCGGGAAGCTCATTTGATTTATTTTGTCTTGAAATCACTACAAGTTTTTTCAAGGAACTGGGTGAGCAAAGCCAGACTGGAAATCAGGTCACAGGATCGCTGTTGCCTAGAGACTGGAGAGGGGACCAGGCCTTCTTTCCTTGTGGGTGGAAGTGTCAGCCTGAGGCAGTGGACTCTGTTCAGCTCGTCTCCTTGGGATTTATCCCTGGGTCCAGCCATAACCAGCCTTCTCTCTGGCTCTGTGGACTATGTGACATTCAGAGTTGGAGGGAATCAAATATTTCCACGTTTTATTATTTTTTGCTCAGCAATATATCTTTTAGACCTTCTGTGTGTGTGTGTGTGTACACACACCTCATTCTGTTTTAATCACTGCATAGTATTCTATAGTTTTTTCAACTGTTCTGTATTAATGGACATTTTGCTTTTTTCCATTTTCCCCTTTTATTTCTACTTCCCCTAATGTCATGTCATAGAATTGATTTTATTCACCCTACATGCCACACCTTCCTCCTTCTTTTCCTTCCTGTCTTCTTCCTTTTCTCCTTCCCTTGCATCCATCCATCTTTGGATCCATTCATCAGGCAGCTATCCTTACAGATGCTAGATGGATGGGGTGGAACCCTGGGGCCATTCCTTGGCCTCCTGGAGCTCCAACCAATGGGAAACCAGAGAAGAAGCACACGATGGGATTCCCTGGAAGCAGGTTCCTCAACAGTCTTTTTGAAGGAGCTCTTTCTGGCCTTTTCGACTGTAAGGTTCTCTGAGGCGGGTATTGCTCTTTCAAAGGAGGAGTTGGCCTTTGGACCATTACCATGTCTGCTTCCCGCGACCTTCCTGGATCTCCATCGGCTGCCTGCTCTCCCCTTTTTCCCATTGCGAGGGCCTGTGGCTTGAGCAAAACAACACCATGGTTGGCTCCAGAAGGTTGGCCGTGAGAAGGGGCTAGTGGGATGGCTTTTCCACTGGCACAGGAGAGAGAACTGTGAACAAAGTTTCTAATCGGAAGTCAGTCTGAATTGGACACAGAACCTCAGTCTCCTGCCTTGGAGGAAATTAAGTAAAGATGAATCAAAAGGAGTAACTGGGGCGTGTGTACCAGAGACAAGCACAGAGAGGGGGAACAACCTATGGTCAACGTTCCTTTGTTTTCCATTGGGTCCAGAATGTGCGTCTTGTGCCAGGAGCTGGGTCTGTGCTTGGCTCTCCTTCCGTCCTCTGCACTTTATGCTTCTTTTCTTGCGGGCATCTCGACAGTGGTCACAGTCCTGATCTACAGAGCATCGCTCACCAGCACGTGGAGCTCTAGGAAAGCACAGTTCAGAGTTTGGGCTTCAGGGTCTGACCACCTGCTCTGCCTCAGTCACCCCAACAAGTCATTTAAACTTCGTGTCTCAGTTTTGTCCTGTGTGAAATGGGGAAAGTGTCACTGACTTCCTCCTAGGGGTGTCGGAGAGGGTAAAATGAGTTGTTCTGCATGAAACATCTGACCTAACCCTGGAACAGTGCCCAGTGCATAGTAAGTGCTCAGTAAATACCACACACACACACACGCACACGCACACACACACACACAGATCACATGTCTCCTTCTCAGGGAGGCCTTTCTTTCCTGGCCTCACACCCCCATCTCCCCTTCCCTCTTTATTCGTCTCCACAGCACTTACCGCCGTCTGACCCACTTGTTTATTTCTTTGTTGACTCTGCCCCCTACCCCTCATGAGCCCCCACAAATACAGAGATTTCTGTTAATTTTTTTTAATGCTTTATTCCCTGGAACGTGGGTAGGTGCCTAGGAAATATGTATTGAATGGTTGAATCTCTGTTTTAGAGATGACCCTCCAGGTCATGACTCGGGCACAGAGAGGTAAGGTAACTTGCTCAGAATCACCCAGCTACTCGCAGTTGGCAAATCTGAATTAATGCCTCCCTGCTGGTAAAACCAAAACCAAAACAAAACCAAGCATAGTGCCTGCCACATGGGGAGGACTCGTAGATGTTACATAAAATAATGATAATAATGCTGGCAACTACTGCCCCTGCCCAGGACACCCCGTTTCACTGTCCCCCAGTTTTTCTGGGTGAGCACTGAGTCTCAAACAGGAGAAGCTGTCCTGAGAGGGTTACGTGGGGGGCGCCCAGGCCTGTGGGCAGTGGCTGCACCTGGATTAAAATGGGTTCATGCCCCTTCTAGAGGGCTTCCCAATCTGAGGAGAACCGGGGTTCCGTAGAAACATCAGGGGGCTCACGTGGTGCCCATTTCCAGACTCAGTGGCAGCTTTGGAAATGTGCCAGTTTCCCCTCCTTTCACTGGCTGTTGGGCATTCCCTGAGCCCTCAGCGGTGCTGCAGGGTCCTGATGGACAGGAAATTGTTTCTGATCTGGACCTCGTCCCAGCTGTCCCCCAGTAGGTTTTATTGTTCCCATTTTTTAGATGAGGACACTGAGGTTCTGGAAATGTAAATACTGAGGCCGAGATTGGAACGCAGGCCTGCTAGGTCCCAGTGCCTCATACCCCTGCTCTGCTCCTCAGATGCTGTTATATTTGGGTTCTGACTCTTAAGCGTTTATTGAGCAATATGTATAGGCTGAGTGCCGTGCCTAATTTTTTTCTTGTTTGCTTATTATGGTTTTTAAGCTGTTTTCTCCAAACAAGGGCACTGTGTTTGTCAGAGGTATGCGGGGGAGGAGACCTTGTGACCCTCCGGATGACAGCAGTGAGCCATGGGGAGGGAGCCCAATTGTCAGAGCAGCACTGCTCTGGATTCAAATACAAGCCCAGCCTCTTGGTTGCTGTGTGATCTGTGTCCAAAAATCAACTTCTCTGAGCCTCAGTTTTCACATCTGTAAGATGCAGTGAGTACCCTTCCTTGGAGGGGACACTGAGCAGTTGAGATATTAAATATAAAATATGAAGCTTGCTGCCTGGTGCGTCGTTGGCCATCAGTGAGTGGTGGCTATTTTATGATGACGATAGTGATAATTACTATTATGATTGTATTTTAATACATAGCATTGTACCTAAATGTCACTTCTGTGTTTACCTTCCGGATCTTTGTCACTCCTGAGGGTACAGACTGAGCCTTATTCATCTCAGCATCCCCGCCTTCTCTCACAGCTCTTGGTGTGTGGTTGATGTGCCCTTATTGGAGGGCACAGGAATGAATGGATGGATGAATACGGAAGTGGGCTGGTGGTCTGTGGAGCCCGCTCTGGCCAGTTGTTGGGGGCTGCGTTTCCTGGAGTCTTATCCTCTCTTGTCAGATTCAGACCGGGACAACGGTAAGGTCGTTCCATTGTTCCCAGATAACATTTCCTATCTTAACGTCTCCACGGGGCAGCCCTGGGCCACACCCTGCCCTCCTGGCCTATCACTGAGCCCCCTTTGGACCCTGCCGGCTCCATTCCAGCCTGATTTGAAGAAAGCTTTCCTGCGGGGGCCCTGCTCCTCGTCTCCTCCCTTCCCTCAGTGGCAACAGTGGCTTCAGGGGGCATCTCTCTCTCCAGAACTTTTCATGTTCCAGTGAGGACCTGAAAAACACGTTAAATCAAGACACTTTACATTAGCCGGGCTCTTCATAGCCTGACCGACATCTTCCCCCTTCTGCCTCGCAGTCACCTTGTCTGATGGTCAGTCAGTTCTTACCCCTAGTTGAACTTGGGAGAAACTGAGTCTCAAAGTGGGTGGGACTGCTACCAATGTGGCTGGTTAGTGAGAGAGCCCAGGACCACTGCTAGCTCTCTGCGCCTCACCAGTGCTTTTGCTACCAGTTCCCACGGGGTGTGTTCGTTGGTTGGCTATACCCTTCTCTATTTCCAGAAGATGTTTGAGGGGTATGTCACAATTTTCATGATCCAGGGCACTTTCCAGTCTGTTAGCTCAGGGTGACATCCCAGCTGCCCCGTAAGGTGTCAAGGTATCCGGGCATCACCAGACCCGCCCTGTTGGTGAGGAAAGCAAGGCCTGGAGAGCCCGTGGCTTCAGATTACACATCTCGGGGTGGCAGCCCTTTCCCTTCTGCCATGTCTCTCTCACCTGTTGAATTTGACTCTTAGATCAGCTGTTCTCGAACTGGATCTAACGTTAGAATCACCTGAGGAATTTTAAAAATCTTGCTGCCGGGACCGACCTGCAAAGATGCTGACTTAATTGTCAGGAGCAGGGGGGTAGGGAGGCGTTATAGCATCTCGGCAGGTGATTCTGCTATGCAGCAACGCTGAGAACCACCGTCTTAGATCTTCCCTGTAACAGGGATGTTGGGAGCCGACATGAAACCAGGAATCCTCAAACTCGATCTTAGACCGTAGTGCCAGCCTTCCTAAAGCAAACCTGGGCTTAACTGTATGCCCTTCTGCTCAGACTCATGGCAGCTCATGTCCCAGAAGAACTGCTGTGCTGATAGAGGAAGCTGGGGAGCAAGGGAGATGGGAGCAGTCCCCAGAGCCATCATGTGTTGTGTGCTGGGCACTGTCCTCAGCACCTTACATATGTTAACTCATCCAAATCCCGATCCACACACTAGCACTATCTCTGATATCATCCCATTTCACAGATGAGAAGACTGTCCATGGAGTAGATCAGTAACTTGCTCAAGCTGGAGGGGCAGAGCTGAGATTTGAAGAGAGCGAGCTGGCTTCTGCAGGATGATCTGGGAACCATGGCACACTGCTTCCTACATGGCTGGGAATTTGCTCTCCCCAGTGGATCTTTCATGGTGATGCTGGGGCATAGCTCATCTGTCACTCTGCTGCTCAGGAGCCTCTGTGCCTCCCCAGCGCATCTGTAGGAGGAAGGCAGACTTCTTAGCACAGCACATGAGGGATGCCCTTTACAGCTGACCGCTGGCAGGCCGTCCCTCCATATTCCATGTTACACAAGCTGTTACTGCTCCTCTTTCTTGCCTAGTGAACTCCTATCTTCAATACCCAGCTCAGCTATCCTCTTCTCTAACTCATGCAGGAAAAGCCAGTGACGCCTGCCTTCCTCTTTGTTCCCAGAGCTCTTGATCCCTCCATCTGTGACCACATAGATCACAGCCTTTTCTGCAATATCCTCCAGTGAATCATGAGTTCCTCTAGGAATGGGCTCTGCCTTACTCCTGTTTGTTCTCCTCCCCTCAGCGTCTATAGCAGTGTTTTCGTTGGATGGCCACCTCTCACACGTAGGATGACCTCCTTTACCTTAGATTCCACAGTATTTCAGGCACAGTAACACGTTCTCTTTATCTTCCATCAGAGGGTTCTTCCTCTCTAATGGATGCTTTCCTTCAAGGTGCCTGGGGCTCCACATTGCATCATGGACATTTACTGTGTGTTCCTCAGCCGGGCTGTGATTTTGGAGGAGTCCCGAGCTCCCTGGAGGTTTGCCTCTCCAGCCTTGGGCTCTCTGCATTCTTCAACACCTCAGGGTCCAGAAGGAAAAGAGCAAAGCTAGCCAGCTCTGGGAACGGCCCGGGTGAAGAGAGGTGGGCGTCTCGCTTAGTGTTGGGCTTGATTCCTGAACTGAGCTGCCCCGGGTGAGGCGAGGCAGAGGCGGGAGGAGTGGATTCTTGGTGACTAGAAGTGAAATATGTGTGTTTCCTCATGTGCTCTTGTGGAAATGCCAGCAGCTGCTCACCAAGAAGTATAGCGAGGCCCTCTGAGGACAGGCCCCCAGGGTCCGAAGAGGATGGGCACACGGGGAGCCACCAGCCTGCCGTGGCACTTTTGAGACCTGGCTGCTGTAGACTGAAGAGGACAGGAAAGTTAAGTTTAAAAAACCCTGGGTGAATTCTAAGAATTTATCCTACAGAAATGTGTGCATAGGTTCGGATGACGTGCAGTGCATCATCTCAACGTTGTTTGAAATAGCAAACGATGAGACACGATCGATCGATTGATTGATTGATTGATTGACACACAATGCCTGGTTTTTAATCCAATAATAGATTACCGGATGTGTAAAGATACAGAAGAGTGTGGCCTAAACTTAGGGGAAAAAGTAGTGAATAGAAAACAGAATAGAATTAAGATTCCAGAGCTAAACTCACACTTGTGTCATCAATTTATTTATTTTTTTATTAAATAGACTATATTTTTTTTAGAGCAGTTTTAGGTTCACAGAACAATTGAATGGAAAGTACACAGAGTTCCCATACAGCCCCTGTCCCCACATATGCCCAGCCTCCCCTACTATCAATGTCCTGCACAGGAGGGGTACGTTTGTTACAACTGACGAATCTACCTTGGCACATCGTTACCACCCCAATCCATAATTTACATTAGGATCCACTCTTGGTGGTGGACATTCTGTGATACGTGTCTAATGACACGTTTCCACCTTCGTAGTATCATAGTTTCACTGATCTAAGAATCCTCTGTGTTCCACCTGTTCATTTCTTCTGATGAAACAGGATTTAAATGCTCCTCAATTGTTGATTGGTTGACAAAATTGTGATACATCCATAAAATGTCTGCACAGTATTGACAGTACAGCTGTTAAAGAGAAGCAGTGGCTTTATGAAGTGATATGGAACAATCTTGAAGCTATATCACTATCAAAAAGCAACATCCACCTTAACGATCTTGATTTTAAAAAAGAAGGGCATAGACCGTGTAGGGAGTGTGCCAACAGCTAACTAACACTAACACACAGCCACCTCTCCCAAATCAGCTCCCTGTACTTCCTGCATCCACACTTAACACATTCTGTTGTTCCTGCCTCTTTGCTGACCTGGAAGCCCAGGGGACAGAGCGCTCCAAGAGGGCAGGACCTGGGCTGTCCATTTGCAGCCAGATGGCCGGGCACATCCTAGCCTTTCCATCGGTATGTGTGAAGGCGTGAACGAATGAAGAGAGTGGGGAGTTTCTTTCCGCAACTTCCTTCTGCCTGCTACTCCTCAAATGCAGGAGGCTGGAGCAGAAGCCCCAGATGTCCCTTCTCCCCCTCCTGGGTACTGTCTTTCCCCTCCCCTCCCCTCCCTTGAGTTTCTATGCTGTGCAAGGCTTCCTCATTATTCCCCAGATTACAGAGACACAGGACATGGGGGAGATGCTTGAAATGGACCTTTGAGAGGATATGATGTAGCTGACATTGGCGGTTAAGTCAGGCAGATCTGACTTAATTGATTAATTTAGTTGTACTGGCCTAGCAAGGCAGCGGTTGGGATCAGACTCCCCATCTAACAGCATGCTGGTGAGTCAGACCCATGGGGTTTGAGTCCAGGCTCTGGCCGGGCTGCCTGTGTGACCTTGGCCATGTGACTTAACCTTGCTGAATCTCCATTTCCTGATCTGTAAAAGGAGGCTAAAAATGCTCCTCTTGAGGTTGTCATGAGGATTAGAGGTAATCACATAAGTGCGAGTGCCCTTTGAGGAAAGACGAAGGTGACAGTGCTTGTTGTGGAGGGAGACAAGCGAGGAGGGCCTCCCGTGGCTCTCAGGTGCTCCTCCTTCCTGGGGGTGGAAATCCCAACTTCAAGTCAGAATAGGTTCTAATTCAGCTCTTACTCTTTTATTCAGCGCACTGCTCTTGGCCACCCAGGGCTTTCAACTTAAGCAAATAAATAATCCTGCTCCGCCGGGCTCTGTGTTCTGCAGCCAGCCATATGTTTGAGGTTGATAGAGATCCTTATCCAGCGGGTAATATTACCCAGCAAGGGATGACATTTCTTATCAGAGGCCCTGCGGAATCAGAGATAGCGGGTCCTTTCTTTTTACCGGCAGCCAGGCCTCAATGTTCAAGGGTGGCAGGCAGGGCAAGAGGGGCGGACCAGGGCCCGGGAGTGGGCAGCTTGCACTGCAGTGGGCATCAGTCTGCCCTCATCTCTTAAGACAGCTGCTCTCAATACCCTGTCTTGTCAGAAGAAGGTCACTGTGAGATTTCTGCATAAGATTGAGGCAGGGCAGGGCAGGGAAGTGTGAACTGAGGAGGGAGGCGGGGAGTGCCATGATGCTGGACCAGAATGGGGTGGAGGCAGAGCGCTTGCCTCTGTGGGGCCTTGCGCTGGTACAGAGAGGCAGGTGGCCCCCTGCTACAGCACCAAGGTGGAGGGCATCTGTGCTGTGGCTCTGCAGAGCGGAGGCAGCTGAGGCCAGAGTCTCGGCTGTGGGAATGGTGAGGTGCTGGGTAACCTCGACGTCCCCTTCCAGGTCCCCCTGTCCTTTTCCACCCTGCCCTGTGCCCAGGAGGCCGACCTGTGTGGGTGCACCAGGATGGATGCCACATGGGGCTCCTGTGCCCCTGGCTCTGTTTGGGAGGCACTGGCAGGATGGGAGGGCAGGGAAGGAGTGAGGGCAGGGCATTTATTCTTCTGCTTCCTCCCTGCTGGGTTCTTGATTGATACAGCCAAAGTCTACACAGAGGCCCCTGCGTTGGAATCCTGATTCGGGCACGCACTTGCTGCGTGCTATCAAGCAAGTTGTTCAACCTCTTTGCACCTCGGTTTCTTCCTCTCTGGTATGGAGGTGACACCATTTTTCTTGACGTCTCTCACCACTTGCCTCTGGGGCTCACTGATCCTGGAGCGGGTGCACTGCTGGGTCCCCGAGGGCCCGTCTGAGGCCAGAGCTCACTGTACGTGAAGCCCAGTGTGGGCAGAGGAGGTCAGACTTGACCACCTGATGCTGGGGACACGTGCTCAGTGCTCTCCCCTTCCTGATTTTTGGGAAGTCCTGCCCTGTCCAGCCCTGCTCTCAAGTAGTAATCTTGCTATCATCAGAAACGGAAGGAGAAGCGGTTTCTCCCTCTCCCTGGACCCCTTCCAGCCAGTGGTTCTGCCTCTGCTTCCTTCCTGTTGGCCCTACTTCTTGTTTCCTTCCATCCCCCCTGCCTCTCCAGGCCTTCACGTTGAGGGTGTTGAGTTTTTCCCTCCCTCACCTCTCTTTCTGATGGCCAAGTCGAAATTCTGACAGCACTGCTCTGACCATGTGCCTGTCCAGCAGTCGGTCATTCAGACCTCTTAGCATGGCATTTAAGGCCCACCTCATCGTGACCCGGCCCTGTGGTTCCATGCTGGTCACCTTTGAACCTTCCTGTGGAGTGTCAGTCCTGGTAAGCAAGTCTCACTTTTGAACCTGCCATTGTCTTCCATTGACTTTCATGCTTCGATCTCATCGTTTCTCCTTTGGTTGTCTGAGGGGTGCGTGGGCTCTAGCCACAGACAGGGCTGAGTTCCCCGCCTAGCTCCACCAGCTGCTGGCTCTGTGACCCTGGGCAAGTCGCTTCACCACTCTGAACCTCAGTGTCCTCAACTGTGACATGGGCTAGCTCCTGCGCCAGGTTCTTGTGAGAAGCACAGTCTCAAGGCTCCTACTGGGGCGAGGCTCGTGGCAGGTCCTCTGTGAGTGGGGGCTTCTGTCTCTAACTGGCTGCCCTTCTGATTATCCAAATGCCACCTGTGCTCAAGGTCCATCCCATCCTTTGCCTTTCCTCTGGGTTCTTCTGCTGGAAGTCATCTTCCTCTGTTTGAAAGGCTCAGAGTGCCTCACGTCTGGACAGCGGGAATGGACTGCTTCTCTTTCTGCCTCTGTCTGACCTTCCAGCATCACATGGATTCCTTTAGGGCATGGACTGTGGTGTATGGTTCTCAGCTTGGCCACAGAACCCATTGATCTGGTGATTGAGAAGTTGACCCCAAGGGAATAGAAGAGCATCATTTGTTCTGTCATTGAATCAAATTTGATTGAGGGCACATGATATGTTAGGTGTGTGCTTGGCACGGGAGTTACAAGGAGGTGTGAGATGGAGACTGTCCTCACGGAGCTGGTCCTCCAGGGAGAAGGTCATCCGGTTGTGTGTGCCAGGCGCAGACAGCAGCCCTAGAAAGATGTGGGCCCCTACCCGTAGGTAGCTCAGAATCTGATGTGGGTTGTAGGGGTTTGGGGGGCATTCTATGACCAAGGAAAAGATGCCTCCCTTCAGATTGATGCCCCCATCCCCTCAGATCAGAGAGGATGGCGTTCCCTCTCCAGATGCCACTAGTGACCTTATCAGGTGAAGTTCCGAGGTCACCAGCACCTCTCTGTGTAGACCTACACAAAGCCTTGTTAGGTAAAGTCCACCAAGAGAGATGTTCTAGAATGTTCCAAGCTGGCTGATCATGATGGTGCCTTGAACACTCATGATAGCTTGTCCATGGCCAGGAAAGTGGGTGAGAACCAGCCAGCTGACCATCTCGGCCAACTTGTGGATCCTCTCCTCATGAGCCTCAGGCATCTGGGGCTGCGGTGGACATTATTTTCCCTCCACCACCAACACTCTTATCCAAGTCACCCTCATCTCCTGCCTAGATTACAGCAACAGCTTCCAAATTCCACTCCCTGGATCCAGTCTTGCCTCTCTGCAATCCTTTCTCCACTCAGCAGCCAGCGTGATCTTTCTGAAGTGGTAATCAAATTGTGCTGCCCCCACAAACATACCCAGGCCTTTCCATTTCTGCTCTTGGGATAAAAACCAGTATCTACTGGACTTTGTGTGGATTGACCCAGCTGTCTTTCTTCACTCATTATTCTTCATCCACACTGACCTCTGCCAAGTGATACAAAGCTATCCCCTTCCCTCCCACCTCAGGGCCTTTGCACGTGTTATTTCTCTGTTTGGAATGCTCATTCCCTCCATTTTTTGATGGTGAGTGCTTTCTTACCCTTCAGCTGTCCCCTTATTTTTCTCCCACTGCATTCTGCTTTTCCTTCATAGCATGATCTAGAATGATACATTTATTTATGTTTGCTTCACATCTGTTGGTCCTAGATGGACTGGAGGCAGTGGATTTATGAAACAGGAAGGGGTGAGGTCAGTTTGCTAGCTGGCTTTGAAGCAGACCAGAGGTTCTTTAGGATGATGATAATGCTCCTGATTAATTATCATAATGAGTCTCCTTTTGTCCTCACTGTCCGTATAGTGCTCCAAGCACAGGGGACTTGTCGGGCGACCAGGAGGACTGGAGTGGGCAGTCTGGGGCAGCCGGTCGGTATCTCCATGTGCCCAACTGGTTCCGTCCTTGCACTTGACAGGTCCCTCTGATCTTCTCGCATACAATGGATTGCAGGGAAAAAGAAACTTCCTGGCCTGACTGATACCAATTTGAAGGAAGCAGCTGCCTTTGGTGGGAGCAAGGAAACAAAATCCAGCGAGAGTGATAACCTCTCACCAATCTGTGTTAATTGAGGAACTGCGGGTGTGGGAACAGAGTGGTATTAACCAATAGGAGAAGAGCCCAGGTTTGGGGCTTCCTGGGTTTTAGAGGTTCCATCAGTTTCTACGAAGTGAGTGATGCCCTCTGTCCCCCAGTTTCTTTGTAGTGGCAAAGTGGAGTTCACTGGACATTTCCCCCAGTCAAAAGTAGATGACCTGTGCTGAAGATGAAGCTAAAGAGAATCTTGGAAAGAACTCGACAGTTCTTTGGACATCACCATGTGAGGGAAACTGAGGCCCAGAGAGGTGAAGCATGGTCCAAGGCCACACAGCCAGTTGGAGGTAAAGCCAGGTCCTGGAACCAACCATGGTTTCCTCCCCGCTTTTTCAGTAGATGTTCCATGCTGCCATCTTTGTTCCTGTCCCCTCTTGACAGAAGCATCGATGGTCCCCTTCAGCCATTCTGGTTGACCTCATGCTCTAGACTTATTCCTCAATGGCTTCAGTGTGGCTGGTAGCTTCTTGTCACATCCTTTATGCACCCATTGGTTTAACTGGACAGGCTCTGATGGCAGGTCTCATTTATTTTGCTAATTGTGTGATCCATGATGGTAAATCGTCACTGTGGGCTGGGGGTGTTGGGTCCAGGTTTGCAGGGCTACATGGCACAGAGTGGGGGAAATGCAGTGTGATGGTTACGTTTATGTGTCAGCTTTAGGCAATGGTCTATGTGTGTGTGCATGTGTACTGGGCTTCAGTTTCTCTGTCGGTAAAATGGAAATAATATTAATACCTGCTTCATGGGTGGCAATAAAGACTGAATGGGACAGAAAATGTAAAGCGCTTAATACACTGCCTGACATGGTGCTCCCAACAAGTAATGTTGGTTACTGGAAGCTGCATACTTGTCTGCAAGCCACGTGGGTGCATGAATCAGTTATCTATTTGCTGTACAACAAACCACCCCAAAACTTAGTGGCTTAAAACAAGGACAGGTTGCTTTTCTCATAGTCTTGTAGGGTGGTTGAGTCCTGCTGGGTGGTTCTTCAGCTCTGCTTGGAGTCATTTGGAGTCAGCATGTGGCCGCATTCATGGGGAGCTCTGCTGAGGCTGCATGGCCAAGGTGGCTTCATTTACACACCTGTTGCCTCAGCTGGGGCGACTGGAGTGGCTGGGTCTCTCTTTTTCCATGAGGTCTTGTCATCAGTAGTCTAGCCCAACCTTCCTTACAGTCTGGCAGCTGGGTCCCAAGTGCCTAAAATGAAAGCTGCCTGGCCTACCCCTGGCTGGGCACAGAACTAGCACAGCATGACTTCCATCGCATCCTATTGGCCAAGCAGTCACAGGCCAGCCCGGATTCAAGGGCAGGAGAAGTCGATGCTGTCTCTCAGTGAGAGAAACAACACGCATGCACAGAAATGGGAGACATTCTTGGAGGAAACAGCACTGGACACAGTGTATCCCAGGGTGCGGTTGCTTTTGAAGTTTATGACTCTCAGTCTCTACTCTGTTTAGCCTCTTGGGTTATCTGTTATAATGTGGTGAGTACAGACAGGAACTCTGGAGCCAGCCTGTCTTGTTCCAAATCCTGCCTTTGCCACTAACTAGCTGTGTGAAGCAAGTTTCTCATTCTTTCCATGCCTCAGGTTCTTCATCAGGAAAATGGGGATAATATTAGTGCTAGAGTAGACTGTGCATGAAGATTAATTGAAATATATATATATGTGGGCACATATGCCTGCATGTGTATATGTGAACATAAGTGCATATATAGATACATGTGTATATACCTAAGTCTGTCTGTGTTTGTGTGTATACATGTCTGTGTATATGTGAATTCATGTGTATATATATTGTGGGTATATATACACATATATGTTTAAATATATATATATGAAATTTAAGACATAGCTCATAAGGCTATTTCCCTGTTTATATATAAGTTTGCAGCCTGCAGAGAAGTTGCAGCCTGCCTTGTCCTGGACTTGGTCCCAGTGTCTTCCAGAGAATTTTAAAGTTGGACCCAAGTGCTGGCGCGCAGCTGGGTCTTGAACTGAGGCCTTCGGAGGCCAGCGCCTGATACCTCCTCTACCACAGGAGCGGCTCCCAAGCCGGCCCTTGGGAAGTATCAGAACTATCAGTGGGTCCTGGTAAAATAGGGATTATTCTTGGGTCCCACCCCAGGCCTGCTGAAACCAAGAAGTAGACCTGGAATCTGAACTTTTAACCAACTGCTCTGGGTGATTTTGCTGGAGACCGACACCATGCTGCTTCTGCTCCTGGCTGCTCTCCCAGCCACCCGTGCTGCCTCCAGCAGTGCCATCTTCACTCTCCAGTTAACACGGTTTCCTTTCTCCTCCCAGAAAAACCTAATGCATTCTTCTCACGCACAGCCAGGGTCTCAAAGGGGCGCAAAGCGCATATTCCTATTTGGATTTTCAGTCTGATTTCGCTTTCCCACATCACCGAGAAAGATGTGCTGTCCTTGCCTCACCTTTCCAGGCTGAGCTGAGGCCAGGTTTAGCTCCAGGTGGCCCAACCACCCTGGGCCTCCCTCCTTTCCGTAATGAGCTGACTTCCCCCAAGTTACAGCTTTTGGGCGATGTGACCCATTGCTTTGTTACTACTCTGTGTCTTCCCACTAATTAAAAAACAACGGCCGTTTATTGAGCATCTATGCTATATACATATATTGCTCTAATTATTACCCTGCAGGAAAGATATTATTATCCTGAAGCTAAGAGATAATGAATAATTTATAAAAGGGCACGGAGCCAGCATTCACGCCCTTGTCTACCTACCTGGAAAACCCTTTCTCTTTCCTGTACCAGAGGTGAGATATGTAAGATTTCTTTTCAAGGCCATAGGTCCTAAATACTTCTTTTTAACATATGTGAATAAGATCTTGCAGAGAAATTGTTTCCAATTTAAAATGTCCAGACTGTCCTTGGGGTTACAGATGTATTCTGGAAAGTCGAGCTGCCCAGGCTCTGGCCGCGTTGGAAGGCACATAATAAGACGTGAGCCCAGCCGGGCGCGGTTGCGGGGAATGGCGCTGCTCCCTGCCTTTCTCTGTTCAGTCTTTCCGTTGTAAACACGTTTTCTTCCCCACGCTTTGGCATGCATCATGATTTACCTTCTAGGTTGTCAGGCCTTGTAGAAAGGGGTTCCGATCTTGGCATTAAATTGCCCCATTTGTGTGTGCAGGGCCTTGCCATTGCAGAGCACTTTCCAAACCTTCGTGGGTCCTCACAGCTTCCTGGGGAGAATACCCGCCTTGCAGATGAGGAAAACAAAGGCTCACGTGGTGGAATCATCGGGTCCAGGTGCTAGTCTTATCACAGCCACCAGGAGTCCTTCTGTTTAATAGTTTCTTACTGAGAGAGCGTGAAGCGCAGTCGAGGCTACATTCAAATTATAGGAAGAGACCTCTGCCCGCTTGGTGAGCTGGCGCTCCCCTCTGCGAGTATTGCGGAACATCTGACCACTCAGTGCGTTGATGTGTTTACCTGACCGGCTTCCCCACGAAACGAGGAGCTCTCTCTGCCTCATCTGCCTGTGTTCTTCAGTGACTAACCCAATCCCTCGCTTGCGATGGGTGCTTTGTAAGGATGCATTGGATAAATGAATAAATAGCAACTCCACTTTACCCGTCAAACCACTTTGGGCGTATTGAACTCCTGCCTGGGCACCAGTTGTACTTCATTTCTTATTACAAAGCACTAAGTACCTCTTCCAGAAAAATCTGCAAATCCAGACAAATAAAAGGAAGAAGCTAGAAACACTTCTGTTACCACTCAGCGGTGACTCATTAAAAGAACTGACACATACACACACACACATATATATATACACACTCATCATAGTATGCTAGTATACACATTAGTTTGTACGTGGCTATTTTAGTAAACACATGATTAATTCCTTCCCAGGTCAGTGTGCACACTTCCCTCGCCATTTGATTGCTCAGACACCCAGATTCACCATTGTTCAGACATAAGTGGCAGAGCCCCTCCAGTTTTTCTTAATGTCTGGGACAGACAGTTACGAGTCAACTTTTGCACCATAATAAACAATGCTTCAGTGACTGTTCTCGGATTAAATCTTTGTGACTATATTTTCCTATTTTATTGGGATATATTCCCATGAGGTAGAATGGCTGAAGCAAGGGCTGTTTAGGCTATTTAGGTTGCCACGTTCCCCTTCGGGAAGTTTGGAACAGTTTCTCCTTCCACCACCGTATCTGAGACCACCATGGCCCTGTGCCCTCTGCAGCAGGAACTGAGGTAAATGTGCCTTTTCCAGCCTCTTCTCTTTGGCCCGTGACACAGCACCAGATGCATGGCTGTTCTTGGCCTACATGGCCCTTCTTCAGAGGCCCTCCCTCACCGTGCGCTGTGTAATGCTCCTATTGTTTCCCCTTCCAGCCCGTAGTTTCTGTAACACACGTCTCGAATCAATTAAATCGTGATTTGTGGTGTTTGGAGCTGAGCCTGCATGGGTCTGGTTCCCTGTTGTGTCCTGGCAGCCAGCATGGTATTTCATAATGGTCAGAAGCACAGGCTGAAGTCAGAAAGACCTGGATTTACCATGGTTCTGCCCCTTTGCTCACCCAGGTCTTCTCTTTCTCATCTGAGTATTGGGAGTTATTATGTTGCCTGCCTCGCACAATGATGGGGATGTTTAAATGAGACATGGTGCGTGAAGAGCACAGCACACAGCTTAACGTATGGTAAATCCTTAACTATTGCTGGCTGCAGTGTGGTTCGTGGGTAGGTTGTGAGTGCTTACTACATTCCGGGCACTGTTCTAAGTGGTTTGCATCAGGAGCCGGCCCTGTGGCCCAGCAGTTAAGTGTGCATGTTCTGCTTCAGTGGCCCGGGGTTCGCCGGTTCGGATCCCGGGTACGGACATGGCACCGCTTGTCAAGCCATGCTGTGGTAGGCGTCCCACATGTGAAGAAGAGGAAGATGGGCATGGATGTTAGCTCAGGGCCAGTCTTCCTCAGCAAAAAGAGGAGGATTGGCAGCAGATGTTAGCTCAGGGCTAATCTTCCTCAAAAAAGAAAAAATAAAATAAAATAAGTGGTTTGCATCAGAGATCTGCAAAGTGCGGCTCAAGGGCCATATCACGCCCACTGCCTGTTTTTGTACAGCTAGGAATGGTTTTCACGTTCCTAAATGGTTGGAAAAGAACTCAAAAGAAGAATCATATTTCATGATACATGAAAATTACATGAAATGGGATTTCAGTGTCCATAAATAAAGTTTTGTTGGAGCACAGCATGCCCTTTCTTTTATATATTGTCCATGGTTTCTGTTACACTATGATGGCGGAGATGA